CTTTATAATTCTCTTGTAAGGCCTTTATGTTACATGGGCTTTATTCAATTAGTACTTAATAACTTCTTATTATTGCAGTAACATGAAGAAAAACCTCTATGACTTATAATTATGTAATTAAATATGTATTAAATGACAATATATATTACTAAACCAATCTAATTGGCTTAAGAGCATATACCAACACACTGTCATAAAGCCAGTCATTGTCTAAACTATCATCATGCCATTCATCAGGCCCATCATCTTAATTGCCATCAAATCTATCTTCACTGGTAAGGAACAAATCCTCATTTCCCTCATCAGATGCAGTATTATCCTTAAGCATCGTAGTGTCACCCTCTGACGTCACAACGTTATCCTCAAGTGTCGTATTATCATTTATAAATGGCATTACACCCTCTACAATTTCACCCGGTCGTTGCATTTGTTAGACAGAAGTAAGTAATTGGTTCGATGCACATACTGATCGGAATTGTATAGCCAACTGTTTTGTGAATGTCGTGTGTCTACCAGGCTGCACAAACTCTTGTGCATACGTCAATTGCCATTATTGTGGGTTATGGACCGAATGTTGTGGTATATGTGAAGCATTGTAAATCTCATTTTGATTGAGTTGATTACCATAATGTACAGCTTCTTCATGTGACATAACATTTGTTTGGTGTTCTTTAATCGTGACATAACATTTGTTTGGTGTTCTTTAATCGTGACATACACAGCCGGAATATTACTCTGTTCTAGCAGAATTAATGCAACATCCTTATCGTCTTAAATAATTGGGCGTGCTAGCTCTGCGGGTTTACTAATCAATGCATATAACTCACTCTCGTGAATTTCTGAGTTTACCCCAACAATATTTTCAACTAACTTCATCAAGCCCGTAAATGATAAATTACTTCTAACCCTTTGTATTTGTGACTCACCACCCCTGTAAATGCCATTCACCCACTGATCACCATGTCTTATCACAAGTCACACAATTGGAACCCCCACTAAAATTTTGAAAATAATTGATTTTTCAATCATTTTACACATTACATTTCATGTTCTAAAATTTATCAGTCATGTTGTTACATGCTATGTTTAAAAAATGTTACACGTCATGTTCAAAAATGTTACACGCAAGTTAAAAAAATGCTACATGTCATGTTCAAAAATATTACACACAAGTTCAAAAGTTATCACACACCATGTTCACAGCATGTTACACACCATGTTCAATAAAAATGTTCCATGCTATGTGTTAACACATGTTTTTTTAATATATTTTGTACATGCTATGTGCATTATAGATGCATGGCGTGTAACAATTTTGGGCCATGTTTCTAATCCAAGATATAATTTACCTTGACATCATATCTGCTATAGGGTCTATTTATTGAGGACAATATGGCTGAATGTCTAAAGATAGACCACAGCACAATGACGATGGTGCTCAATAGAGAGTTGACAGAGCTAATACAGTTCAGAGAGCTGATGACGATGGTGCTCAACAAAGAGTTGACAAAGTTGATACAGTTCAAAGAGTTGACAGAAAGAGAGATAAGCAAGCTGAAATAGTTGAGTATTTATTTCTATTTTTACTCTACAGAAGGAGGGGAGATATCGGGAGCTTAATTTGCCAAGAATTTTTAAGGGCATTTTGGTCTACTCATATTTTTTTTTAGGTAAAAACAAATAACTTAATATGGATAGTTGTTTTTGAAATCAACTTACAAAAAAGGCTATTTCTCACAAGTTCCTATTCTTAGAATATCATATGTTTAAAAAAGAAAACAAATAGCAAAGGAAATTTTGTACCAACCAAATAATAAGTTAAATGTTCGGGTATAACTAGTCTATGAAAGCTTGAGAATTGAATCATTTCATTTTTATTTTCCTTATATTGCAGGTATGACGAATTATACGAAGCAGGACAACTCCAGCAATATCAGAAGTACTCGTCGGGAAGAAATGAAAACAAAACAAAACAACGAAAGACGAGCTATATCATGTAGCCAACTGGTTTTGAACGAAGGACTTAACCGCCGCAATTAGCAAGGAAGATTCAGGCAACTCTGCAAACCCATAAAACCCATGAAAGGCATTCGGATACTCAATCGTGTACACTTTTTTTCCACATTTCCTTAATCCTTCCACATATTTTCTCTGCCAATCTTGTAAAGGATCAAACCCGCCGATGAAAACAAGGGTAGGTGGAAACGATAAATGTGAAATATCAACAGAATTTGGCCCAAATACATTCACCGCTGGATGATCCCGGTTGCAGCCTTGTGGCAAGAAAGCCTTCCACATCCAATCTGTGCGCTTCACTGATATTAATGGAGTCCCAACAAGCTTCATCTCCGATTCTGTCCTTTCCTCTCCTCCAAAAAAGGGTTGCAATTCTACAACTCCGACAAGGTTCAGTCGGGAAAATTCATGCTCGCAAGCCTTGAGGGCCACATGATGCGCCAGGTTGCCACCCGCGCTGTCTCCAGCAACAAAGAACTGCTTGATATTGGCAGAAGAAGCTGGAAACCCTTCAAACTTTGGGTTATCAATGAACTTCAAAACCTCAAAACCATCTTCATATTGCGACGGGTATCGATGTTCAGGCGAGAGCCGGTAATTCACGGAGACAACAACAGCAGGAACTTCACGCGCAAGCCTCTTGCATAAGTCATCGTAAACCATTGAATTGGCCGCCATAAACGCAAAACCTCCGCCATGGAAGTAGACTATGATGGGAGTGGTGGCACCATCAGCAGCGGCGGTGTTGGTGTACAGACGGAACCAAAGTTTGCGTGTGTTGTCAACCATGATGTCAGAAGACACGATGCCATGATCAGGCTTCGTTGAAGTTGAAGGAGAGGCTTTGGGGTCGAAAAGTTTCATAAGAGGTCGGTTGACGGCCGTGCTGTCAGAGCTGCAGAATGCATTTACAGAGAAAGAGTGAGCAGCGAGCAGAAGTCTGACTTTGAATGGAAGTTTAAGCGATGCTTTGGTTGTGGTGGACATTTTGAGTTTGCTACAGATGAGATGAGAGGGTTTCAAAGTCAAGAAGATAAGAAGAATTTAAAGGAGTGAAGAACAACGCAGCAGAAAAGGAAAGGGGAGTTAGTGTTACATAGCCCTGGCCGGCCAGTATGATAATATATTTGCTTCGTTGGTGACCGACAGATAGACAGACAGGGCCAGTATTAGTTTTTGCATTTAATTAAGACAAAGGCGAACAACTAACTAGTTTGTTGCTGTTTGTCTCGATTAATACGTCATACGTATAAAAGAAATACCGTTGACGTACGTAGATTCCAAGGTCAACCTAATCAAACCCTTGCATATATAAATGATTGGTATAACTAATTGGTATTCATCTATAAATATAGATTAGTTTTCATTTGTATACGGCTTTGTGGTATAAATAATTGGCCGGCATCTCTAGGAATCTCCAATTTCACAGCTCAAAAAATGAGAAAATACCTCTTTACTATTATCACTACGTTTATTGTAAATAAATATATACATTTGCATCTAAATTAATTTACTGTTTAAATTTTCTCACAATGAGCCATGTAAAATTGTTTCAATTATTTTTTTTTCTCAATCAGAAGATTAAACATATTAACAAATTTAACCTACTTGTTATATTTAAAATTATTTTTATAATTTTATTAAATAAAATTAATAGTCGTGAAAATAGTAATTATTCACGGATGCTAATTCAAAAACATATCTAAAGAGTTTTAATTTAAAAAAAAATCGGTATTTATGAGTTCGAAAATTCCCGCCGCCCACTTGAATAGGATGCTCCGCTGCTTTTCTCCTCTCAGCTCCAAATCGAGACCCAGCGGCAGCCTGACCATTTCCCTCTTCTCTACCACTACTTCAACAGCCGCTCTCCTCCAGAAATGCAAATCTCTTGTCCAAGCCAAGCTCATCCACCAACAGCTCCTCATCCAAGGCCTCTCCCACCGTTTCACTGCCCACCTTATTTCCGCTTACCTTACTCACCATGCCCCTTCCCATTCCCTTTCCCTCCTCCAACGCTTCACCCCTTCTCTCTCTGCCGTCTTCTTCTGGAACTCTCTTATTCGGCGCTCCCTTCACCTCGGCTTTTCCCATGACGTTATCACTCTCTTCCGCAGGATGCTAAGCCTCGGCTGTTCTCCGGACCACTACACCTTCCCTTTTGTCCTTAAGGCCTGCGGCCAGCTTCCCTCCTTCCGCCGTGGAGCAGCTGTTCATGCTGTTGTCTGTGCTACTGGGTTTGAGTTCAATGTCTTTGTTTGTAACGCGCTGGTGGGAATGTACGCTCGGTGTGGTGGGTTGGACGACGCACGACAGGTTTTCGACGAAATGTGTGACCGAGGGATATGTGATGTTGTCTCCTGGAATTCCATTGTGGCCGCTTATATGCAAAGCAGGGATGCGAGGAATGCGGTAGAGTTGTTTCGCAGGATGACTTGTTATTGGGAAATCCACCCAGATGTCGTTAGCCTTGTCAACGTGCTTCCTGCTTGTGCGTCTCTGGCCGAGTCTTTGCATGGTAAGCAACTGCATGGTTTCGCTCTGAGGCTTGGTTTGTTTGAGGACGTTTTTTTTGGTAATGCTTTGGTAGATATGTATGCAAAGTGTGGGATGATGGATGAGGCAAATAAGGTTTTTGAGAGGATGAAGGTGAAGGATGTTGTTTCTTGGAATGCAATGGTTACTGGGTATTCTCAGATTGGTAGGTTTGAGGAGGCTCTGGGGTTATTTGAAAAGATGGGGGAGGAGAAAATCGAGTTGGATGTTGTGACTTGGAGTGCTGTGATTGCGGGCTATGCTCAAAGGGGTCATGGTAATGAAGCATTGGATGTGTTCAGGCAAATGCAACTCTGTGGTTGCAAACCTAATGTTGTTACACTTGTGTCCCTTCTTTCTGCTTGTGCTTTGATTGAAGCATTGGTTGAGGGGAAGGAGACTCACTGTTACGCCATCAAATGTGTTTTGAACTATGATTGGAATGATCCAGGAGAAGATCTCATGGTGATTAATGGTCTAATTGACATGTATGCTAAGTGCAAGAGTACAAATGTGGCTCGTTCCATGTTTGACTCAGTTGCACCAAGTAATAGGAATGTTGTGACTTGGACTGTCATGATTGGTGGATATGCACAGCATGGGGAAGCCAATGATGCATTGAAGCTTTTTTCTGAAATGTTCCAAGAAGATAAGTCTGTGAAGCCAAATACTTTTACTATATGCTGTGCCTTGATGGCTTGTGCTCATTTGGCTGCACTAAGGTTTGGTACGCAGATTCATGCTTATATATTACGCAATTGGTATGAATCTGTGCTGTTGTTTATGAAAAATTGCCTGATAGATATGTATGTGAAATCTGGTGATATACATGCTGCTAGAGTTGTGTTTGACAACATGCAGCAAAGAAATTCAGTTTCTTGGACATCCCTACTTACTGGTTATGGCATGCATGGCTATGGTCAAGAAGCAATCAAGGTTTTTGATGAGATGAGGGCAGCAGGACTTGTTCCTGATGGTATTACCTTTCTTGTTGTGCTCTATGCTTGCAGCCATTCAGGAATGGTTGACCAGGGAATCAGATTCTTCAATAACATGCATAGTGAGTTTGGCGTCATTCCTGGGTTGGAACATTACGCTTGCATGGTTGATCTCTTAGGCCGTGCTGGTCGATTGGGTGAAGCTTTGAAACTTATTCAGAGCATGCCCATGGAGCCAACCGCAATAATATGGGTGGCATTACTTAGTGGTTGTAGGATACATGGAAATGTGGAACTTGGGGAATATGCTGCTAACCAGCTGCAGGAATTGGATTCAGTGAATGATGGGTCATATACACTGCTTTCAAACATATATGCCAATGCCAGGCGTTGGAGAGATGTGGCCAGGATCAGATCTTTGATGAAACATTCAGGGGTCAAAAAGAGACCAGGTTGGAGTTGGGTCCAAGGAAAGAAAGGTACTGCAACCTTCTATGTGGGTGACAGGTCTCATCCACAATTTGAACAAATATATGAACTTCTTGCTGACTTGATTCAACGCATTAAGGCAATTGGGTATGTTCCTGAGATGAACTTTGCACTTCATGATGTGGATGATGAAGAGAAAGGTGATCTTCTTTTTGAACATAGTGAGAAGTTAGCTCTAGCCTATGGCATTTTAACCTCATCTCCTGGGGTGCCTATTCGTATCACCAAGAACTTGCGCATCTGTGGTGATTGCCATAATGCCATTACTTACATATCCTTGATCATTGATCATGAAATCATAATAAGGGATTCAAGTCGCTTCCATCATTTCAAGAACGGATCTTGCTCATGTGGAGGCTACTGGTGATACTGGATTATTGATGACAAGGTGGGTTATTAATTTGTGGTACTTGAAGAGGTCCTAGTATGATTACACAACCATGAAGGATAGTTATACTTTTGAGTCTGCTCTTTCATATAGAGTACAAGGGGTAGCTTGTTATGTTTTAGACTCAAACAACACGATATTAATGCAACTAAGAGGTAGAATTTGTTCTCACATGGTTTTAATGAAGGAACACAGGAAAAAGAAATTTCTATAGCAACACAAGCTTGACATAACTAAGAGGCAGAATTCATTCTCAAATGGGTTTATGAAGAAATACAGGAAATAGCATTTTCTGATTCATTCTGTAACAGAAAGAATAACTTAGTAGAGACAAGGGATACTATTAGACACAATCAATTCAGTTTGTTTCGAAATCAGCAGCTACTTCTGCTTTGTGCTTCCATGCTCCATGTTTGAGGCTCGCTTAACAAGCCAAATTGATTCTTAGCAGAAGGTTCCTGCATGTTTCATTTTGAGGAGATAGAAGATGTTCAACATATAAGTTTCAGTTGAACTCAACAAAGGGTGAATCGCCATTTTGAAGATGTCTAACTAGTAAACCATGAAGATATGCAACAAATGAGGTGGATTGGGTGTGGCAGGAGGAAAACCAAACTTATTCTCAGAGATTGACTTTATTGTGTCAAATCAACCACTATTGATTTGAGAATGCAAGGTCCTCAAAGACTTTGAGAATGCAATGTTAGGTGAGATGATTTGCAATTGGAGAAAACCTGCATAAATGTTCATGGTTGTTCCCAAATCAAGGTTATTGCAAGGAGTAGGGCTTAATTTTATGAAATTTTGTAAAGGCAAGTGAGTGGTCACCTCTAGACTGATTGCTAATGTGCTTTAGCAAAATGTTCAAAGGTATCAATCTCAGATTTGAAGCATAAGGTAAGTTCTTATCAGAAGAAGGATTATGCAAGAAGTAAAATTCTTTTGTTGTTGATGTAATTTCTAATGTTTAAACTTATTTCTTATCTTTTCTCAAGGCTCTGCTTATAACTAATTTGTTTTGATAAGTATTGTTTCTGGTTTTTAATGATCCTCTTCATTAGAGAACTACTTAGTCATCAACCCTGCAGGGTGTTGTTGCACTATCTGGCCTAACCAGCATAAATCGTAACCAGTGGATGAGACAGGGAGATCTGGGCCAACTGTTAGAGTAACCTCCGTGTCAAAAAAGGAAAGAATCAAGGTACATGTACAAGTATTTTTGTTTTCCTTTCTTTGAGGGTTTCATATAAGAAAGTCTTGTGTGACCGTTAGGGGAGAGCAGCGGTCGGTTGGAACCGCCCAACCGACCGAAATCGACTGTTATTGTAACCGTCGGTTGTGCCGATCGGCCTCGTCGGCTGATCGGCTCGATCGTCGGGGGGAATCCTTCCCCCCCCGAACCGACCGAAAAATCGACAACACTATGCTACCCATGAGTCCCCGCCCGGCTGCCCTGGCTCCTGCTGACCCTAGTACTTCCCCCGAACCCCCCGAGACCCCGACTCCCGCTGACCCTAATTTCTCCCTCCCAACCCGCCGACCTCAGAAAATCCCCCTCCCAAAGTCCCAATCTCTCCCCACACCCCATCACCTGATTTCCCGCCGGGCGCCCCCCTCCCCTAGTCCCCTACTGCCCCGGCCCCTCGACCTGATTCCCCTCGGCCCCCCTCCCACGAGGCCCGAACTCCCGATTCCCCCGGCCCCCTCCCACGGGTCCCCTCCCACGACTCGAGATTCCCCCGGCCCCCTCCCCATGAGTCCGATCCGCCCCCCCCCCCCCAACTCAAGTCCAGAAATTTCCTCCCCTCGGTGACTACGAGTCCAGGACTTAATTCCCCTTCACCCTTGCTTTTGCTTATCAGTCTTCCATTCTTCAACTCAAGGTAAAATTGAAAATTTTTATTTTATTGTTAGTTATTTTGTGATTATTATGTAGATTGTCAATTAAAATAATTAATAATATCTTAAATCATAGTCCAATTTAACCTATTTTAGCCCATAAATTATAATCTAATTTAACCCATTTTAGCTCATAAATTATAGCCCAATTTAACCCATTTTAGTCCAAGTCAACTTAAGTCAACCCATTAATTTTATCACCAAAAACCGACCGAAACCGACCGAAACCGACATTCAAAAAAACCGACCGAAACCGACTTTATAATATGGCAGTTCGGTCGGTTATATCTCAAAAATTTTTAGTCGGTTTTCCTCAAATTGACCAAAAACCGACCGAACCGACCGATACTTTCCCCTAGTGACCGTCTAACAAGGCTTCTTATATGAAAGCCGTATATTATCAGGTTAAACTCTTGGTATTACTAGTAATAAGAATTGGTCATCAAGGATAAAGCTCACAGAGTCATCTGTTTCAACTTGGTGGTGCATGGTAAGAGCTGAGGGCGCACATATATTATGATAACTTATCATCTCTTATTTATACTGAATGGAAGCTACCATCTATTAAAGATGATTCCTTTTGATAAATATAACATTATATTTATAAATAAGAGAAAGCTCAATGATGAAAGTTCTACACCTTATGATAAATATAACATTCACATCAATAATTTAATTTATTTTCTCGAATTTATTATAATGTATCTGTTTAGTTTTTTGAATTGCACATAAGATAAAAGAACAAAGAACATGATACATTTTCGAGTTTGGTTGCCCTTTATTGCTCATGATGATGTGGATGTATTGAAAAGAAATGAACGAAAAGCTAATTCTATGGAGGGTGAGAGGCCGAATTTGTCCTATTCGTTGTAATGGTACCTCACTTGTTTGCAGATTGCTTTTGTATGAAATCTTTCACATTCCCCATGAACAAACCAGTCTCTGGCAATCCTGGAACACCATAGAAAGAGTGGATAGCATTTGGATACTCAATCAAATATGCCTCTTTCTCACACTTCTTCAACCCCTCATAGTACCTAATTTGCCAGTCGTGTAATGGATCAAGCCCTCCAACAAACACAATTGTTGCCGGAAACTTCAACCTGGAAATATCAACTGATTTTGGCCCAAAGATATTTGAGGCTGGATGGTCTCGGTCTGACCCTTGAGGCAAAAATGCATTCCACAGCCAATCTGTACCCTTCACTGAAAGGACGGGGCCATCAACAAGTCTGATTTCGGATTCTGTTCTTTCTTCTCCGCCAAAGAAAGGCTGTATTGCTATTAGTCCTATGACCTTCATGTTTCTTAACTCATACTCACAGGCTTTGACAGTCACATGATGCGCCAGGTTGCCCCCGGCACTGTCCCCAGCGATGAAACACTGGTTTAAATTGGCATACAACGGAAAACCTTCCAAGTTGGTGTTGTTAATATCGATGAACTTTAAGACATCAAAGCCATCTTCATATTGACAGGGATATCTATACTCTGGGGACAACCGGTAGTTGACAGATATAATCACTGCTCCAGTTTGCTTAGAAAGCCTTCGACAAAGGTTATCACAGCCTACTGAACCTGCAGACATGTATGCAAAGCCTCCACCATGAAAGTAAACAATAACTGGCACATTGGTGGTGGAGGTGGAGGGGATGTAAAGGCGGAACCAGAGGTTACGGGTGGGATCAACCATGGTATCGAAGCTTTTGACACCATCGAGGGGTTGTTTGGAAGGAGGAGCTTTGAAGTCGAAGAAGTTCATGATGCGACGGTTGATGGTGCCATCGCAGCGGCGAGAGAATTTGACCCCGAAGCCAATCATGAACCTGTAGAATCGCTCTTTCCAAGACACATCTGGCAATATTGAATTTGTATTCTTGGACATTTTTGTAGAGAAATTGATACCACAAAATTCTACGTTAAATACACTTTCTGTCTGTCTCTCTCTCTCTACATATATATAGCTTTGAGCTTTGTATTTCTATGATGAGGTTCGGCTGAGGACAGAAACATATAAACGCAAAGAGCTTAGAGTGGAAGGTGGAGTGCTGGACCAAATTATATAATAAGCACCATTCAATTAGACTTATTGGTATTATTTCTACCACATCTTCTCGAAGACCATTCTCTGTTTTTTCCTATTTCCATACGAACTCGTGCATTGCATGGTGAGGCTGCTATCCTTGTATAAAGAGACAGAAGAGTGCCAACAAAGGTTTTGGTGAGTCGTCCCAACATTCTTCTTTTGTTTTTCTCTACCTAACCAATAAACTAAACAAAGAGTGAAATTTTACATAATTTTTAAATGATCATTAGTTTAAAAGATTCAATCTTTTAATTGGTAAGCCGGTAAGATTTTAATATCATAACCCACTTTTACTTTATAAAAGTGTCAACATTAAAAATTTTAAATCATGAACCACTCGTCTGAGTTACAAAATTAATCTAAAATTTTTTAAAAAATCTGGTTAAAAAAAATAGTAAAATATTACATTAATTTTATTATTACTTTTTAAATTTTAATTTGAATAACATTAAGATCAAAGGTTTTTTTCTTTAAATTTGGTAAAAGCACATCAAGAGTAGTAGATGACATTGTGAACATTGAAGAGATAAGAGTGCCAGTCATGCATATGGATAAAATGAAAACAGAGTTAAAAGAGTGAAGTTGAAGCCTGGAGATTAAACTGCTTGAAATTGTCTCGGTTTGATCGATGTACAATCAATGCAATGCAATGCATTACAGATTTTACCAAGAGAATTGAAGCAAACGATATGGAGAAAATTTTAATATATAATAAAATCACAGGGTGGGAGCCCTTTCAGCAGATCCTGCAATGACTGTGAGCAAGTTGTTGCCGAAAGGATCACTGAGATGTTTTGCAAGGTTCTCGACGGGACCTTCTCCGGTGACATAAGCTTGGAAGTAGAAACCCAGCATGGCGAACATTGCCAGTCTACCATTTTTAATCTCCTTTACCTTCAGCAGTGCAGCCTGGTCGGGATCCTTGGCAAGCCCAAGTGGGTCAAATGGACCACCAGGGTGAAGCTTGTCCTCCAAATCCTACATCATCATCAGAAGACGATCAGACTCAATTAAATTATGAAACCAATTTCCAACTTGGTGTTAATTAATCCCAAATGAGTATATACCAAGACATTAACGATTCTGTAATACTCAGCACCACCAACAAGAATGATCTCGGCAATGACAGCAACGATGAGATTGATAGGGATGTTCTTCCCGAAGTAGTTCAAGGTGTTACCGTCGAGAAGAAGAGCTCCAGTCTGTATGCAACAGGCAGCGAGTCACCCAACAAATTACAGAATAATATTAACTATATTATATGAACAATTAACAAAAGCTGAAATACATGCAAATGAATTTTAAACCTTGAACCAAACGGCTTCAGGGCCGCAGTTGGCACCAAATTTGTTGAAGGCTTCAGGGATGATGAACCCAGCAGCACCAAGCATTGCCCATCTAGCGTGTATCAACTCATATGCTTGATATCTGCACTCAAATCCCAAGCTCAACTCAGTAACAGACAAACTAATACTGCATTTTGTTTGGTAGGAAAGAGAAAAACTTACTGTACGGTGCGCGAGTCTAAGTTTAAAAAGAAGCAAAACTTACTTGGCAAAGTTTTCTGGCTTCTTGCTCAGACCAAAGGGATCGTATCCATAGCTACAAGAACGTACACATAAAAGCAGAGCAATCCGTCATAAATTTAGTCATATATAAATCATACGCTACTAGTAGTATGCTACTATACTACAACATTTTGCAGGTGGAGGTGGAACTCACTCTCCGGGAACTTCTCCGGTCAAGTATTCTGGGATCTCTGATCTGTCTAAGAGCCCTTCCGGCAAGAAGATCCTTCTGTCGGGACCTGATAATTAATATAAAATAAATGCTTGAATATTTACACATTATATGCAGCAAATCAAAGCGGAGATATGAACAATTAATTTGCTTCCACTGCACTTACCGTACCACTTGGCCAGCTCTTCATCAGCTGGGGAGACAGAAACAGTCTTTGCCTTGGCAGGTGCGGCCTTCTTCTTGGAGAAAAGAGCTACGGTCTTAAAGGAGGCAGCGTTTGATGCTGTAGGAGCCGATGACCTAGCGGCAGCGGAGAAGTTGAGAGGGTTTCCGAGCATTTCGGAGACGCCGAGGGAGGCAGCAGCGGTGGAGGCTGCCAATGAGGCCATCTTGGTGGTTGGGTTTGGCTTACAAAACTAGGAAGAAGTAGTAAAAGTGGTGGAGAACAATAGAGGGAGAGGGGAATGAATATAGTAGCCATAAGGTAGAAGTGGTGGATGTGGAGATGCCACTTAGGATTGAGGTTCACGTGTTGTGATTGGTTGGCTGTGGAACATATGATATCTGAAGCTGGAATATGATAGGATGGCCTTTCTGACGTGGCAGATCATGATGCTGACGTGGAATGCTCCTGAACCCTTTGAAGATTGCCATGTATTCTGGTTCTGGATAACATTGTCCTATCTCATTGATCCCTTTGTTTGTGTGGATGAGGGGAATGGTGAAACTCAACCATATTCTGCTATTACAATCAAACTGCTTCCCTTACAAATCAAACTCTCACTCATTCTCATTTGTTATTTTTATTATTTATTAAAATATGCTTCCGCAATGATTTTTTTTTTTATGTAGATTTTGGAATAAAATTATGGTATACACTTATATCATTCTATTCTATATCACCTTTTTAAGGCTCAAATAGAAGATTTCAAATAATTCTAAATTAATATATAACTTGCATTGAAAAGGGATGAGAGAGTAAAGGTTTGAGCATAAACGAGGGAATACTTCACCAAGTAAAGAAATGGACAATGCATAACAATTTGAAGCCTGAATCCATCCATTTGACTCAAGGGCATTCAAACCCACTTCACTAAACCAGTAGAATTAACACCTTCTAACATGCATTTACATGAAATTATTATCACTATTATTTTTTTAATGTAACTCAAAGACCCAATAGTCCTCTATGTACCCAAAATAAATATTAAATTGTTTACAAATATGGGAAGTAAATACATTTTTTACTTTTGTACCCAAATACACATACACATATACAGGGAACATTAAACCTTATATATACAAAAATGGTGTATAACTGTGCTAGCAGGTGAGATGGTGAATTTCATCCATCCACGTTTTTATGCAACCAACATGAGTCCTTTTAATCACTGACATCATACATCAAAGACAACTTCAATTCATCTTCTCCACTTGTCCATTTCCCTTGAAGCTGCTATGGCTAGCTTCTTGGTATTGATCACAAGCTCATCAATAAGAGCACCAATTTCATCCCTGATGATAAGAGAGAAAAGAAAATTGATAATCATGAATTCCTAAAATTCTGATTCACAAAAACTTTTGGTTTGCAAATTAAGGAGTCCTGCAATTTTATGATTAGAATCAACGAACTAATATTTATATTTCATTTGAATTTAATGTTCTTTTACTTTTACCAAAGAGATTATAATGATCTTTTAAAAAATTTTATTTTGATTACACTCTGATACATGTTTCTTTTACGTCCACACCCTCCTCACAAAGACAAATTTCCAACTTCATCCCCTGCTCCCAATTATCTCCAAACCAAAGTAAAACCTCTAAGCCTGTCTTCATAACCTTAAACTCCAAACACTTAAAATATTCAAAAACCTGTTTCACTAACAGAGATAATAAGTTTATAAATCAACATATTGCTCTGCTAGAAATTAGAGTAACATAGTTATTTTCCACAATCAAAAGCATGCATTTCAATCCATTTAAAAGCTTACTAGTATTGCATTTATTGACATTTTGACGAGACTAAGAGTTATTTGATAACATGGATCCTATAGAAATGAACAACTTAGAAAGATAAAACAGAAACAAAAATAAAAGGAAAATCTACTCACTGTGCAGGAAGATGCTGGTGGCCAAACAGCTTTCCGACATTAGAATATGTACGGTGCTCACCATAAGCGATGCCCCTCCCAACACCATAGCCAAATCCTAAACCAATCCCACATCCAGCACCAAAACCAAAACCAACTTGCAAGCCAGGAATTCCAGGACCAAAGCCCGCACCTAATAAGAAAAACCATTCAACGCTTTGCATATCATCATACAAGACATTGAAGTAAAATAATATCAGAATAAAAAAATAAATAAAACTGCAGCTTTCGGTCCATGCAATCTATGAATAGGAAGCACAAAAGACTCATTGGAACATAATGGTCTTAACAAATTAACAGGAGAGGGAGAAATCTAGCAGTAAAACTAGTCTTCCAACTTTCCAAAAGCACAAACGACAACCAGCATCTCTGTCTATGACAAAATAATTCTAAAATATCTAACCTTTTCAAACTAATGCAACTACTAGATTAATCAATAGGGATGTTTACTTAGACTACATCTTAGGGGTCTCTCCAAGACAAATTAAAACACGACAATTAAGAATCAAAGATAATTAACACCAATTGCTTGACCTTCAGCAACAGAAATTCTTAAACAAGGGCTTTGATCAATTAGTTACACATGCCTATACACATAATATCTCAATAGCAAAGGCTTGACAAAATGTTATTCCTCTCAAGCCGGAAGAAAGAAGCAATGGGCATTAACTCAACTGAACAGCTTGCTAAAGAGCACTGGATTTATTTAGCTTCGTAAACAAATGAGCATTACTCAAATCAACAAACCAATGATCACTGGATTTGTTCATCCATTTTTTTAAGGGTTTAAAGCATGCCACTTGGTGGTTGGTACTGGTTTTAAACCCTGACCCTGAGCAGAAGGAGTTCATGCAGTTAAAAATTTCAGTTCAAAGTTTATTTGTGTCAAGCATCGGCTAACTGTCGCTAATTTCAAACATATAACCTCTTTTTCTCAACAGGAAAGCAGGAAGGATCATTTAACACAATAAAAACAGCAACGAAAAACGAAATGAGGAGACAAATTTGTGGAAAGGGTTTTGGTGGGATTGAGTAAGGAACGAGGGGAATACCTCCAATGAGGCCGAGGCCGAAGCCGAGACCACAGCCAGCGCCGAGTCCAAAAGCAGGACCAACCTTGCCCACATCCTTGAGTTTAAGCTGCGGGAGTTTCCATATCAAACCCCTTTCCCCATCCTCCACCGCCACCGCTTCTCTTCTCCGCCTCCTGCCGTTGCCGTTGCTGTTCATTTCTATTCTTCACTATCTATCGTGTTGGGGAGTTGGAATCTCTGCCAGCTCTGGCCCTTTTACGTTGGAATCGTCTCCTTTCCTCTCCTCTCCCCTCCCCTCCGGTTCACTTCCAGTTTGGATTTTGGCAAATGGGCGGGTCAATTTTTCGGGTCCAGATTTATTGGATTTGGCCATTTGGGGCGTTATTTCGGTATTTATTTTTTATTTTAAAAATTAAATTTAAATTGAATAAAATAAATTGCATCCTTAAGTGATATCCAAGTAATCTTTTATGCTATATTTTTTCTCCAAATTCTAATTTAATTGCTTGTAAATAATGCAATATCTTTTCTTTAAAAGCTTTAATTGTTTCATTTTCACATCACTTTGTTTATTCAAGATATCTTCTTACTTTGCGCATCATTTGTAATTTTTTAAATATAATATTAAAAGTAATGTTATAGACCCGAGACTCGTAACTCAGGACCGAGATTGAACGGGTCATCGTTCGACCCGGTTCTGATAACCATACTTTATCAGCCAGAGAAATACAAATATAGAAGGAAAATATATAATGGAAGGGAAGGTGTTACTGCTTTGTTTCCATTGGTGTAAACGATGCTTTACAAGCTATGTTTAAATCCCAACATCAAACACTCATTGCACATTACAGGCCTCTTCACCTTGGATATAGAGGGGGAGAGCAAAAGGAAGAAGAAGGGGAGCCTCCTAAGCCTTTTTATAATTGCAGAAAGAGATGCTTCACAACCTACATATTTCTCGCTCGGCTTTTTTACCTCATCAATTCGAAAGCAGATGGCACGTCATGCAACGGGTGACCCTTCTGGTTTCTTTCGATGATCCTCCGTGCAAGGGGAACCTGCTTCCCAACTACAAAGATGAATGCCTTACCTTTTCCCCCTGCTCCTCTGGCAGTTCTTCCGACACGGCGTACATATTCACTTGGATCACGAGGGAAGTCAAAGAGTACAACATGATCCACACCAGCAAAGTCTATTCCACGTGATGCTCTGCCATAAATTTTAGAACATATTTTCAATGAAATGGGAAGGAGGCAGAGGCTTTATCTTCATAAAGCACAGCTAATGAAGTAGGAAAAAAAAAATAACACAAAAACACTCGATCTTTTATTTTATTTGGACAGTGGGAACACTACCTATCAGTGCAAACCAAAATCAAAGATTCTCCTCCAGGATGAGATTGGGTGAATTCCTTCATGTTTACAAGGCGTGTTTCTTGTGCCAGAGCAGCATGAAATGGTAGGACTCGCACATGAGCTCCCCTCCTATCAAAACGTTTTAATACATTCTCAACTTTTCTGCAGGTGTCAATCTGTTAATGGAGAAGGAAAATGTCAAAATAGGATGGAGTCTAAAATTAGCTTATCAAGAAAATGAAAGAGAGGTTTTCCTTCCATTCAAAATGATCATATCATACGTACCTTGTTACAGAAAACAATCGTTTTGCAAACTGGACTTTCTTCCACAAGCTTCAGAAGAGCATTCTTCTTGTTGAAGAATGCTGTATCTGGAGTTTTTAAAGTCCCTTCTCCACTGCAATCTACAAGAACCTGGACATGCAACTTTGATTTTAACATTCATTACAGAGTAATAAACATTTATTTAGTAGTTTAGCCTAATAATAATTAAAATGATAATGATAATAAAATAAAGAAACAAACTGGGTAAAAACAAACAAGCAAAGAAATGAAAACCCACCTCCTCAAGACCGGAGCTAATGTGGTGCATGCCAGGTCCCATGATCACTTTAGTATCGGGAAAAGCTTCAATCAGCTTGTTGTATATGTCTACGGGCAAAGTTGCAGTCACAAATAGATATTGTGTTATAATAGGTGAGGAATCTATTAAACTTTGCAATGCAACCTTGAAATCCTCATCCTTAAAAAGTATATCCACCTCATCAAACACAGCACTGCAATACAAGCAATTAAGTACAGCTTAGTTTTGGCACAACTATATGTTAAAATTGAGTTATGCTAGGTCTTTCGATAATAGTAATAATAATTAAACAACTGCTTTCCCTTCGCATTATCATGCTATAGATGAAGCAATTTTTAAGGAAATTCAACTTACCTTCTAAGATTTGCTAATTGCAGGAAGCCTTCTTTAATTAGGAACATGAAACGACCTGGTGTTGCTATTAAAATGTCAGCACCTTGCTCTAGATTTTCCAGTTGCGTTTTTTGTCGAAAACCACCTGTCACAACCATAGATCGAAATGGGACCCCAAATTTTGACATTGATCGACAACTACTCAAGACCTACAAAAGTCAAACCTGCATTAAGCAACTGCTATATTGCCATGGAGAGGTTCTGACAATATTGCATATACAAAATTGCATAGCTGCCAACATATTCAATTTTCAATCAAGCAAGGTGTGCTGAGCTTTCTACATGATGAATTTCTCTGGAGTCTCAAATAAGCAATTTCACTCCTTAGGTTTAACAACTTGATATCACTCCACAAGTGGAGTAACTACAGTGAAAGCTAATTCAATGGTTTGTGTAATTGCACTGTTTCCCATATATGTTGAAACAGTAGAGAAGAATTACGCCATGAGTGAACTAACAAAAAATTGTCATCGGAGAAAAGCAAACCTGTTGCAACAAGTAATTTTCAATCACCACATTTACCAAAGTCATACCCAGAGCCAATAGATACATTCAAGGATATAAAGGAAACTCATCAATCATCATCACAAATCAAATATGTATAAAAGAAAGCATTAATCATAAACCCAGTGGGCCTGTTGTCCAAAACTCTTAAGGATCCGATGATCTAACCAACCAATTGGCAAGCATATCCAATATGCATAATGCCATTATTCAATCTTGACTTTCTGATACCATAGTAAAAGTTCCATACGCAGAAGGTACTCAACCTATATCCAGAACATATTGAGAATGTAAATACCAGACTGACAAGTGACAACATAATGCATGGCTAACGTCATATTGTTTGAAGCAGCAAAGAGAAGATGACATCAAAATGAAAATAAGAAAAAATACCATGAGGCAACAGTATTGAGTGGATTCAATTGAGTGGGCACAACAGAAACTGACCTGAGAAGCCAACTCGGCAGTTGGTACAATTATAACTGCTCGAGGGCTACCCGAGGAGGACTTGCTAAACCCTTGGAGTTCTTCTTCCCTAAGATGCTGAATCACAGGTATAAGATATGCCAATGTCTTCCCTGAGCCACTTTGATCAGCTATAATGCAGCTCTGTCCCTCAAGAACAGGTCTAAAAGCCATAGCCTGCGGGAATTCAAGATTTTTATTTCCTATGCTGAATGGTTTTTGACAAAACAAAGCAATAATTTCACTAATTAATGTTGATATGATACATCCAAAAGCAAATTAAATCTTAAGACATGAGAAAACAAACTCTGTACACTGTTTATTGGACCAGTTGTCATGAAAAATTATAAATATACCTGAATATGTGAAGGGCGCACAAAAAGCTGTTCCTTTAAAGATTTAATCATGTATTCACTGCAACCCAAATCTCTAAAGGTTTTTCGACTAAAAAAGTCACCTCCCACAGACAGCTTACGATGTTTCTTTAGGAGGTCAGGTGATTTCATTTTGCGCTTATGAATGGAGCCCCCATCACCCCATCCACGTAAGTGAGCAGCAGAACCTCCACGAAATGAACCCTCTGGTTCAGCATTTTTGGGGTAAGACTCATGAGATTTATCAAGCGCTTGAATAGAATCAGCTGATAAATCAGAGTTCTCAATGTGGTTTTCCGTATCGGTACTTTGGCAAGTCTCTTTGAGTTCTTTAGATAAGAAAACCCTTGAAACACCTCTTTGACGGCTCTGTGCAACCAATTCATCATCATTGGTGCTTAGTTCTTGCTTCATCCGAGAAGTCCTCTCGACAAGGGCTTTTACTCTTTTTGCTTTAAGTCTTCCAAACCCCGCAGTCAATCTCTTTGTACCTGGCTCTGCAGAACACTTGCCAGTGACTGCCGTCACAGGTTCATCATCTGCGAAATTATGAAAGTAAAATCTTAAGGTTGAGAATCAGAGAACAAAGCAGTGCATGCCAAGAGCAACATTCAGCAATGAACAGTGTGGAAAGATAACATTTTAAAGTGATGGAATCTGGTGTATATCTAGTGGGAATAAACAGGGTACCTTACCCTGCACGTTAGAGGTGAAAAGATGAGAATAATCCAATATCACTAAAAGGGAAATGCTAGATACACATTATGAAGTTGCATTTTAATCTAAAGCAATTTCATTCTCATTGTCCACTATTAGGTCGTCAATATTCTCTGAAACAGAGATTAATTTCATCCATACTCCAAGAATAGGTAAACGAATCATCTTCAAATGGATTACTTGTCTATGGGTTGAAACATGTACTCCAAATTAGCAACCATACCTCAGTGAGTGATGTGCAAACTGAATAAGGCAGTAACAAGTTAGGTTCAAAAGGAAGGTCAGCATCACTGGGGTACCTTGAATATATGGATTCAAGGCAAATCCATTTCCATCTAAGTAAGCAAGTCCTTTCCTTCTAATTTTGCATATGCTTTTTGGTAACATAAGCTAGAATGCTATAACAAAATATTCGAAATGCTCCATTTCAATTTTGCACTAGAAAAGTTTCTAGTCAAATGTGATTGAACCGTATGCTCAATCATAAAGAATTTGAAAAAGGCACGAGGAATAACGTGATTAAAGTTTAATGGTGCAGCTTGTTTTAAGGAAAACAAGCAAAAGAGATAGCTAATTAGACGTTGAAGGATACACGAAGAGAGAGTGCGGGTGAGTAGGGCCTGGAATCAAAGACCAAAGATAGAACATTAGAAGCGGCAAAAGAACCTGGTGGATTAGGCGAGAGGCTCCAATCAGAATGAGGAGAGAGTAGGTGGTTGGGGTCAGTTCCGCCGCAAACAATGAACTGTTTGGGGTAAGCACCCGATGTTTCAATGGAGGTGCTTGTAAACCAACGTCTAACTTGCACCAAACTATGCATAGGAGGGCGCCATTTCCATCCCAATGGAGTTCCTACTGGGAACGGGATTGGGTGACCATTCGCCAACATTTGCCTCTATTTTCCCTCCAAATATCACACCGCTTCGCCCCGTCACAGGATAATAATGAACGGA